TTTACGAGCAAAAATGTTCGCTTAACACCTAATTCTGTTGGAATGACGTGTTGAGCACCACTCATTCAATTTATTTTTGTTTTGGCAGTTGCCTAGAACATACATAAGGTAACATCAATATTAGACTGATGCAAAATTTGAAATTTTCGCTCCACTGGCTCAAACGGCTTCAAATCAGGTCCAAATTAGCCTCCCAAAATTTGAACTAATTTGGTAAGAAATTGACTTGACACAAACCACTTGAATTTTATATGGAAATCGCTATGGGAAAACCAAACTTTTTGTTCATAGTCTTCTAATGTTTATCCATATTGCGCTGTTAAAAAGTTCCACAGCTATTGTCACGGGAAATTTTCTCAGCTACAACTTTGCGGAATATTGTTTTTCAGTCAAACGTCAAATTAAATATTTATTAATTGTTTAAGCGACTGATATTCTTATGGTATGATCAAGCACTTGTTTTGTTGGCAACACTGTATTGTACAGTGTGGCATACACGGTAAGAATAAAATACCCAACAGGAACTTTGTGAAATTTCAAGGAACTTTACATATGTTCAAGAATAGTTGTAGGTGCCTTTTCAGAAGTGCAGAGATGTCCAGAGATCTTTGTAGAATTAAGAGAGATTGAACAAATGTGGAGTTTGAAATAAATTCAGGGAATTTCGTAGAAGTTGAGGAAATTTAGTAAAACTTAAGGGAGTTTTATAGATGTCCAGGAAACATTGCATAAGTTACAGGATATTCTTTCAGACGGAGGCTAACCAGCCTCAGACTGAAAACCTCTCTAATAAAGAAAACCAACTAACTATTCTTTCAGACATCCTTCCTAGACAGCAGGAAACACTAAAAAGATCTCCATACAGACGAAGATATTAGTAAAGTTCCCTAGATTTTTTTTCAAGACTTCAAGATGATCCAGTTCTGAGGATCTCCAGCTGTTTAAAAATGTAATGATCTTTCATTAAAGGTAGGTTGTAGGTTTTTCAGGAAGTACCGTAATCCGGGCGAAAGTTGATCACCGGAGTGAAATTGATAATTATGCTAACGATCATAGGACTGCACGATTGATGTCATTACCATTCAAGTAAGTGTCAATGAATCGGAATTATTTAATAAATTGCGGTAAAATGTTTCAAATGTCAAAAAATCCAGTTTTTTTTCCAAAATTGACAGTAATTTTCAATAAAATTGCCTACATTTAGGCACATCTGTGCATTTAAGACATCTCTTTTTGGCGTTTCTGCTGAAAATACTTTTCACACAAGGGTTTTAGCATCTGAATCGGATTCAGGGAACCCACATTTAATAAGAACAATTACTAGAAATGCACTGGGAAACCATTTGAGGGGTTGATCAATTTCATCCCATATCGATATTTTCAAATTTAAGATTTCAAAAATTTCCTAAAAATTAACAAGACATCCAATATTTTAAGAAATCATGCAGGACGATGGAGCCCTTATGCTACTGATTTTTTTCCCTTGATTTGTTTTCCGTCGATCTTGTTTTCCGTGCTGAGCACCAATTCTACCGACGCCAGGGAGGCAACTCCCACACCTGGACCCTACCTATCGACCCATCAACTCATGAATCGGGGACCAACGGCTTTACTTAGGCGTGATCAGAGATGTTATGCCTGAGAACATCCCGGCGGCGCCGACTGGGATTGAACCCAGGCCTGCTGGGGTGAGAGATAATCACGCTTACCACTACACCACCCGCGCCGCTAGCTACTGATTTAAATACCATTAGTTTTTCAATTTAGTTTATTGTAGAAATTTATTTAGATATTTACGAGATCACTATCAATTTGTCCCGGATTACGGTATTCAAACGTTTTCCAGCTAATTGAAGCTGATGGAATCTTGAATGATGAATTGTATTTTCTTTAGGAAAGACCCGTGCCTTGGTGCTTTAGCTATATTGGTACGAATTAGCACTCCAGGAACTGAATTCCGGGCATAAATTTCAACGAAGAGATGATAATTTCTACATATATCTAATTTGTATAGATTTCATTCTATTCGATTTAGCTGCAGGATAGTTTGTGCTTTTCGTGTGCATTTTTTTTCAATAATTCAAGAACACTAAAAAACGTCGTATAAATAATTAATTTGTTCCGATATAACCAAAACTAACTTCCTTTGAAATAAAAAAAAAGTCTCAATGCTTTTGTAAAAATAAGTTCAATTATTATCTAGTTACAAACAGGAACACAATCATTAAACTTCGAGTTCATTCCTTTCGATTAGAATTAAAGTTAAATCTTGATTGACTCCGAATGTTAGTTAGTCCGATGCATCGAATAAAAAAATGTTCTGGATAAATGCTTTATTACATTCTTTTCTCTTCAAATATCAGAATCATGACAAATTATAACCTGACTTTTCATAACTTTTGCCAGATGTCAATATTTTTCGAAATTTTTAAATCTTAATCGTAAACATTTTCCTAAGTCGTAAATGTATGAAATTTATTATGTGTGCACTTTACCATGTTTCTAAATTCAAACTCCTAGAATTTAATTTGGTTCCTATGTCTGAGATTTAACTAATGATGAAATATTCAAAATCTTTAAAAAAAACTTGTTATAAAATTCATGGAATTATCTAACTCTGATCATTTTCTTATGTTTGAGATACTTAAGTTTATGACATCCGGACGCTATGTGATTTCATTACCTAAAGCATGAACAAAGGTTCATTGCTTGTTCAAATTCAGTAAGCTTTTAAGACTCCTCCAATCGAGGTCCCAATCGTTGCTATGAAATAAATATAATTAAATTTATTGTTTGATCGTCACAGAAAAAAAACAAGCATCTTCGCGTGTTTTTATTTAACCGTAGTTTAGCAAAATAAATGTAAAAAAACGCAACAGGCCCACCCTAGGCCCCCTCCAAATAAATTTTGTAGCTACTGATTAAACCACTGTGCACTGTGCACTGACACTAGGATGAAACATGCAATCAATAATAACCTGACTCAAGTCATGTACACAATATCAAAGCAACTAATCGTCCAATTAACTTCCCATCCTTCCACAATCCATTAGCATGCTCACATTGCTCATTGCTCATTCATCATCATGAAAACCCAAATCCATCTGTATTGAAATCGATTTGCGGAAAAACAACATTCTGGCTGATCATCAAAACATGCCCCCGCCCCCATCTAGCAAACCCGCACCCGCTTTGCTCCGATACATCACGAAATCCTAGATCTCCTAGAAGTCGCGCTAAATGTCGCTAACCCACGATCAACTCCTGCTGCTTTCAACTCGATCTCTCTATCTACATCAGGGAAGTGCGAATCAACGGCCGACAATTGAATTAGACCCACGAGAAAAAAAAAACAAAAACACACCGACTCGCGACCGACCCAACCCAACAACGTCGTGGTCGTCGAAGTCGTCGTAGCCGCCGCTGCAGCCGCTGGGAGGACGAAAAATAGAAAACTAATTGAACACTTTTTCTTCGCAACAACGATTGTAACTGTTTTCTTCTGCGTCTTCTTCTTCTTGTAGTTGTTGTTCTTTTCTTCTCGATCGCCGTGCACTTTTCCGATTTTCAATCACTCTTATGTAAGAGGCAATTATTTAATCACTTTAAATTTTCTTCAGCCCCGTTGTAAAATTTCCTGTTTTGAATTCATAATTTTCAACGATCGAACGTTTGCGAGCACGTGTTTTTGTTTTGACACCTTGACGCCGTCCCACGACGCTTCACACCGACGACATTCCAATCATAATTCAGTATATTCAAACCAGGTAGACACCGTTCTTCTAGCATTCTCACTTTCCAATTGCATCCACCTGTGTTCCACTAGGACACTAGGAGCGACCTTGACGGGAGCAGTGTTCGGTGACCCTTTTCCCGGACGCGCACCCGTTAACGGTTCAACAAGTGGCCAATTTTTCACGTCCCTGGACTACCACCCATCCGATCACCATAAAGAAAAATAAATCCTTCCTCCGATCTGATCCGACTGATGATAACTTACTTTTCTATTCGAAAGCTCGACTGAAACTGAGCCGTATAGCCATTACTGACTGGTCCGAGGATCGTCGTCTTCGTCGTTGTTGGTCCACTCTCGAGAACGAAGCAAACGAAAGAAGAAAAAAAAAATCCTACCGAAAAGATCATGATCACCACCGACCGACCGGCCGACCGACCGACCGACGACCGCATCAAGAGAAGAGTTGATAGCGCGAAAAACCACCCATCCACCCCACACCATTCCCACCCCACCCGACAAACGCTTTCCCATCCGTACGATGGGAAAATGCCGGTCGGTGGTCGACGACGCCGCCGCCGGCCGCCGAGCCACAAGAGATGGTATATTTTTAATTATATGTGTTGTGTGTATGATGCTCTCTTACTTGATGTAGTGTCCTCCTGACCCCCAGGTCCCTCCCTTTGCCACGCAAAATCCGTAGATTGGTACCAGAGCTATTAGGCATCAAGTTGATTGTCTAGGGATTCTGATTTTCGGCAACCTTTCGTTAGATGGGTGTTGTTGTCGTCGTCGGCCGAGGTTGGCACGGGAGGCGATTCGCCCAGATGATGGATCGTGGTCGTTCGGGGAGAGGTTTTCCACTACCTCTCGTGACAATCGGGAAGCGATACGGACGGATTGAAAGCGATACTGAAAGAGAGACCGGGAGCAGCAGAACGCACCGGGGATTTGTTTTTCGTTTGGGAACCTAGCTATGCGAAAATGGGATTTATTGAAGTGATTTATCGCGAATTGTAGAGTATTTTCAGGAAATACACTGGGTTAAAGATTGACACATGCAGATGGTGCGGCCAGTTTTAGTTCACCGCCGTTCACTGTATACATAGAAACCCGATAAATTCGCACAATTCGCACCCATTTTACAGGGAAAATCTTCTCTCAGAAAATCCAGGCTCATTCTCCATCATCAAGGATGTTCGTTCCATATTATTTTTTACACAAAACTGCTTCAATAAAACTTACTAAGTTTACTTCTCAACAGCCATCAGCTGCAGAACTTCGACTTCAGCAAATCGATGCCCTCCAGCAGTACGTACAGCACTCCCATCTCGTCCACCGGGTCCTTAACATCGTAAATCGGAGCCTCAATCATCTTGCTGTCCCCCAAATCAACACCCTGAATCTCCTGTCGCAATCGAAACGCAGCAAATCCCAGTTCACTACAATTCCGCACCTCCACCTGTTCGTTAACGACCAAAAACCGCACCATATCCCGTCCACCGGGCAGCATCATATCCTGCAGCACTTGCCGGCGCCTTTCATGCCTCCGATCGCCGAGCTCAAACACCACCCGATGGTCGAAGGTGTACTCCAGCGGTGGCCTGCCGTCCATCTGTCTGGCAACGTCGCTCCCGGTGGCTAGCAGATCGGCCGACTGCGGCGTTTCCATCCGATGGCCCCGCTCGCCTAGGAAGCTGAACTCCACATAAAAGTGCTGAACCTTCCGCTCGAGCAGCATGGCTAGCGTTGCTGTCCGCCAGCGTACCTTCCTGATGACGATCGCTATGTGGTCCTCGGATTGGGATGGTGACGATGACGGCGAGGACTACAGAATGAGAATCAATTGATTAGTTGATGGAATTTCAGATTTTTCACCATGCTAACTACCTTCGAGTACTCTTGAGTTGACTGTTGAACCTCTGGTGTAATCCCAAAATATGCGGCATAACTTTGACGCATTTTATAGCTAACGCTATCATTGCCTGGAGGTGGAATGGGGGAACCTGGAGAGATATAGTTGAGTGATTTGATTGAACTATAATTACAATGGAGCGGATATTGTTTGGTTGATCAACAAAAGCAAACTACAGTGGGCCGGACACAAAGTGCGATGGAATTTGAATAATCTGGAAATCAATAAATTGAGGATGACCTTTCGTCTCCTTGAAGTGAAGCATATGGTATATAGAACACACCATACTAGGAACGAACAGCCATGATTGGTACATCTACCCAGAGGGTAAGGCGGTGGCCAAGAGGGCGATTTGAAAGATGTTTTCCTAGCAACTTCTCCACGAAATAAATTTTATTCATATTTTATAAATGAACGTAATTACACGAATGAAATATTTTAAATTGTTCAAAAGTGGTCCAGGAAAGCAATCTAACGGAACAAAACCAGGGGGGGTACTGTTATATTAGTATAGTTAGTTAGGTTATATGTTTGGATTTATTGGATTTATTAGATTTAGTGTATTTATTTGAATTATTGGATTTATTGAATTTATTGGGTTTATTGAATTTAATGAATTTTGTGGATTTATTGGATTTGTTGGATCTAGTGGATTTATTGGTTTTCATGGATTCATTGGATTTATTGGATTTAGTGGATTTACTGCAGTTATTGGATTTATTGGATTTAGTGGATTTTGTGAATTTTGTGAATTTAGTGGATTGGTAGGATTTATTAGTTTATTTGTTCGCATTTATTGGATTTATTAGATTTACAGGACTTATTTAGTGGATTTAGTGGATTCATTGGATTGATTGAATTTATTACTTTGACTATATGTTTTAGTATTACTTCTACGTGAAGTCAACGATTTACATAGTTGAAGATGCTAATTTCAAATAACAGACTGTAGTGGTAATTTTTATACGATAGATGGAGTAGATGAAAGCATAGAGTTGATAGTTCCGTTAGAGTACGGCAGTGTGAAGATTGTATATAGATATTAGACAAGCGAGCTAGGACAACTTTTAAGGAAGGTACAAATCGGTTTTTTCATCTCTCTTTACCAAACTCCCCCTTTGGAGAGGAATGGTGAGGGGTGTCCCCCTCCGCCACCACTGGCAAAAAGAAATGAAAACCGACCCGCTGTATCCAGTGGATTGTATCCAGTATTTAGTGGATTGATAGGATTTATTAGTTTATTTGTTTGGATTTATTTGATTTAGTGGATTTAGTGGATTCATTGGATTGATTGAATTTATTAGTTTATTTGTTTGGATTTATTGAATTTATTGGATTTATAGGATTTATTGGATTTACTTGACATATTTGATTTATTGGATTTATTAGATTTATTGGATTTATTGGATTTATTGGATTTATTTATTTTTATTTTTTTATTTGTTTATCGTTAATGAAGTATACCATTTTGTTTCATGTACTTACTGAAAAAATCAGGGCTGGAGAGTTGCCTCTAAAGTGGATTTAGTGGATTTAGTGGATTGATAAGATTTATTAGTTTATTTGTTTGGATTTATTGGATTAATTACATCTATAGGATTTATTTAATTTAATTGATTTAATGGATCTATTGGATTTATTGGATTTATTAGATTCATTGGATTGATCAGATTTATTAGTTTATTTGTTTGGATGTATTGGATTTATCAGATTTATTAGATATATCAGATTTATTAGATATATCAGATTTATTAGATTTATTGCATTTATCGGATTTAATGGATTTAATGGATTTAATGGATTTATTGGATTTATTGGATTTAGTGGATCTAATGGATTAGGTCTATTTATTGGATTTATTGGTTTTAATGGATTCATTGGATTTATTGGATTTAGTGGACGTACTGCATTTATTGGATTTATTGAATTCATTGGATTTAGTGGATTTATTGGATTTAGTGGATTTATTGGATTTAGTGGATTTTGTTGATTTAGTGAATTTAGTGGATTGATAGGATTTAATAGTTTTTTTTTGGTCTATTGGTTTAATAACATTTATAGGATTTATTGAATTTAGTGAATTAAGTAGATTCATTGGATTGATAGGATTTATTAGTTTATATGTTTGGATTTATTGAATATATTACATTTATTAAATTGATTGGATTTATCGGATTTAATGGATAAATTGGATTTAATTACATTTATAGGATTTAGTGGATTTATTGGATTTATTGGATCTAATGGATTTATTGGATTTAGTAGATTTAGTGGATTTAGTGGATTTAGTTAATTTAGGGGATTGATAGGATTTATTAGTTTGTTTGTTTGGATTTATTGGATTTATAGGATTTATTGGATTTACTTGATATATTTGGTTTATTGGATTTATTGGATTCATTGGATTTATTTATTTATTTTTTAATTTGTTTATCGTTGTTTGTTAATACCATTTTGTTATAAGTACTTACTGAAAAAATCAAGTCTGGGGAGTTGGCTCTAAAGTGGATTTAGTGGATTTAGTGGATTTATAAGATTTATTAGTTTATTTGTTTGGATTTATTGGATTTATATGATTAATTACATTTTTAGGATTTATTTAATTCAGTGGATTTAATGGATTTATTGGATTTATTGGATTTATTGGATTCATTGGATTGAAAGGATTTATTAGTTTATTTGTTTGGATGTATTGGATTCATCAGATTTATTAGATTTATCAGATTTATTAGATTTATTGAATTTAGCGGATTTAATGGATTTATTGGATTTATTGGTTTTAGTGGATCTAATGGATTAGGTCTATTTATTGGATTTATTGGTTTTAATGGATTCATTGGATTTATTGGATTTAGTGGATTTACTGCATTTATTGGATTTATTGGATTCATTGGATTTAGTGGATTTATTGGATTTAGTGGATTTTGTGGATTTTGTGAATTTAGTGGATTGATAGGATTTATTATTATATTTTTTTTTTTAGGGGGCGACCCATACATCCATACCTCTCACGTCAAAGTCACGAGTTCAAATCTCACCCCCGGACAAGTCACGAATGATCCAAGAGTGTTAAAGTGACTATAACAAAAAATGACTATTGGATTAATTACATTTATAGGATTTATTGAATTTAGTGGATTAAGTGGATTCATTGGATTGATAGGATTTATCAGTTTATATGTTTGGATTTATTGAATATATTAGATTTATTGGATTTATTGGTTTTAATGGATTCATTGAATTTATTGGATTTCTTGGATTTATAGGATTTAGTGGATTCATTGGATTTAGTGGATTTAGTGGATTTTGTGGATTTAGTTAATTTAGTGGATTGATAGGATTTATTAGTTTAGGGACTGTTCATAAACTACGTAGACAGTTTAGGGGGGGGGGTGACAATTATCCACGGCCCATACAAATTTTAAATTTTTTGTATGGACAATTGTCTACGCAGGGGGAGGAGGGGTCAAGAATCCCAAAAAACTGTCTACGTAGTTTATTGAACAGCCCCTTATTTATTTGGATTTATTTGATTTAGTGGATTCTTTGAATTGATTGAATTTATTAGTTTATTTTTTTTTTGATTTATTGGATTTATAGGATTTATTGGATTTACTTGATATATTTGATTCATTGGATTTATTAGATTTATTGGATTCATCTTTTTTTTTTTTTTTTCTTTATTTTTGTGATTTTTAGCCGTAGGCTAGTTCATCACATAGGTATTGGAATTGGATTCATCGAAATCATTTATTTATTTTTTAATTTGTTTATCGTTACTGAAGTATACCATTTTGTTATATGTACTTACTGAAAAAATCAAGTCTGGGGAGTTGGCTCTAAAGAGGATTTAGTGGATTTAGTGGACTGATAGGATTTATTACTTTGACTATATGTTTAGTATTACTTCTGCGTGAAGTCAACGATTTACATAGTTGAAAATGCTAATTTCAAATAACAGACTATAGTGGTAATTTTTATACGATAGATGAGGAGATGAAAGTATAAAATTGATAGTTCCGTTTAGAGTACGGCAGTGTGAAAATTGCATATAGAGAGTAGAAAGCGAGCAAGGACAACTTTTTAGGAAGGTACAAATCGGTTTTATCATCTCTCTTTACCAAACTCCCCCGTTGGAGAGGGATGGTTAGGGGTGTCCCCCTCCCAGTGGTGGCGGAACGGAACTATCAATTCTATACTTTCATCTCCTAATCTATCGTATAAAAATTACCACTTTATTCTGTTATTTGAAATTAGCATCTTCAGTTTATTTGTTTGGATTTATTGGATTAATTTCATTTATAGGATTTATTAGATTTAGTAGATTCATGGGATATATGAGTTTAGGATTTTATTGGATTTATTAGATTTATTAGATTTATTGGATTTATCGGATTTAATGCATTTATTTTATTTATTGTATTTAGTGGATTTAATGGATTAAGTCTATTTATTGAATTAATTAGATTCATTACCTTGTTTGTTTTGATTTATTGGATTTAGAGAATTAAGTGGATTGATATTTATGTATAGGCTATAATGGATTTATTGGATTTATTGCATTTATTGGATTTATTTAAAACAGCAAAAAAGGTTATCTTCCATTTAATTCCACTTAATTAATTTTGGTATCCATGACAGATACGTATTTCGACTACAATGTGCAGTCTTCATCAGTGTCATTCCCACTAAAGAACTTATCAAAATCTAACCCCCTTAAGTACTCATCCCCTGGATTTATTTGATTTATTAGATTTTTTTTATTTAGTGGATTTATTGGATTTATTGGATTTACTGGTTCTCGCGGATTTAGTGGATTGATTGCATTTATTGGATTTAATGGATTTATTGGATTTAGTGAATTCGGTGGATTTATTGAATTAATTGGATTTATTGGATTTCGTGGATTTATTGGATTTATTGGATTTACTGGAATTATTGGATTTAGTAGATTTATAGGATTTATCGGAATTATTGGATATATTGGATTTATAAGTTTATTTGTTTTGATTTATTGGATTTAGTGGATTTTGTGGATTTATTTGGTTTATTGTATAATTGTGGATTGATTATACTTATTGGATTTAATCAGGGCATTCATATTAAATCAAGTTGATCAATATCCAAATATTTAAGTTGCCCGTGGACCAATTTTTGGGACGTTCTAGTTTGACATGACTTGTCATAACAGTCGGAGTCGGTACTTTTTATTTCAACTCCATCTCCGACTCCTTATGCTCAAAAATATCGGCTTTGTTTCGAGTATTTTTTAGATTACCGTGGTTTTTAGTTTCCGTTAAATTGTTGAAAAATAATGGCAGGTAGTGTTCGTTAAGTGCTATGCAGTTTTCTCCGTTGGCAAACTTCCTGGTAGTGAACTTCAGACTTCAAATCAAGAAGATTTGTAACTCTGCCAGAATCCAAGCGATAGTAACAGTAGCGCTGCGCTCGAGCGAAGATGGAAGTACTGCATAGAAAAATGAGCCAATACACAAACCTTTCTTCTGAGGTGGTAATCTTTGCTATCAAATCGTTCGAAGCATTTACCTTTGAGTGGCAGATGACGCGATTGTGTCGGTCTCATACACTGTACCAAACCACCGTCCTCTGTTCGAATGAAACCTCAGACCATTCAAATCGAAACATCGAAATCGCCTTTTCGAATGATAGCTGCAACCGAAAGACGGTTGTTTTGAAATCAGATGATTTTCCTCTCGAATACAGGATGAAAATTGTTATGAGAAGAGATAAGACCTTCAGTTAGAATGCGTAATGCTTTCTGCAGAATGATAGTCATCTTAAATTGAAATGCATTTGGTATTGGTTCAGCCCCTTAACGCAAATCACTCAAAACGATGATGTAAATAATTCTATTGAACGTCATTTACTGCTTTGAGCAGACAAACGAGGTGAAAGCATAGCCATCGCATCGGTGGTACGAACTACGAACATTTTTAAAGCGTGGAAACCGTAGTTTATCTATTTCGTGGTGGAGGAAGTTTCCTCGACCAAAATATTATTTTTGTATCCATTATGAATGGCTGATGTTCATGGCTGTTCAATATGGAAATGTAAACAATGGAATTAATAATCTAATTTCCAAAGCATTTGTAATTGTAAATCATCTTATCCTTAAATGGTTGTCCTTTGAGCCCTGTATGTTTTACAGCCAATGTTCAAATAAATATCATCCTTTATTTGGAGGACAGTCATATGAATGTTCATCAGTTGATGACGAATTCAATCATAAGGAAATCATCCGAAATTCGACAGCATATTGTTAAAGGGCTCGAGCAATACAATAATCAGTCGAAGTATTGCGAATGTTTTCGTTCAGTGTAGCGGTCGTATGAGAAAATGGAAAAGTTGCCAGTCTTCTTGATATGTTGTCTTCGCTGATAGGCAGAATCAAAAAAGCTTAAAAAGTATATGCAGATTCCCGCTTCACCTTATTGAGTGCGAGCCATGATTTCTTCGGCAGTAGTCATGCATGATTAAAATCGAAATAATCTCTCCAGTATTAAATTTAATTCTTTTTCAATACGGATACACCTATAATCAAAAAAGATTAAAATTCAAAAAAAATATTAAAATAGAATCAAAAATGATTAAAATTTATTCAAAAAAAGATAATCTACAACCTAATCAACCATGATTAAACTGGGATTAATATCAGATGCTTATTTTTTTAGAAAGAGAGGATTAATTTTTATTCATTCGATATGATTAAACTGAGTTTAATGTCAAATTGTTTAAATTTCGAGCAAAATGGGAATAGTTCAATTTATCAGTGTAGCACAGCTTACAGTAGAACGTAGCAATCCACCCCACCGAAACTTGCAAAACCCGCCACCAGATGGACGAACAACGGGAAGCCATGTGGGGTGGCGATAGGAAGGCCATTTTGAATGGACGATAACGGGCGCGACAAACTGGCAATGAATGACGAATGGCCCGGGTCACTGGCCGACAGACAGAGCAGTGACCCAATGACTCACTCAACTTTCAAATTGAAATCCCTGATCGGTAAGACCACCAGCGAAAACGGTTGATCATAGCAAGCTAGCTAAATTCAATGTGAACAGTGAACCAACTATCGAAAGCGGGGTTTTGCGGCGTCGTTTTCGTTCTACTGAAAATGTTATAAATTTACAATTTCATTTTTAGTAAGTGTTAATTTGAAAGTTCAGAACTGATGTTAAAAAGTGCATTAGGTGAAAATTTTCAAATTCTTATCCATTGCATGTGGTGCCGACTGTTCTAACCTACGCTCAGCTAAGTTTATTTACCTTTTAGTTCCTCTGCTCTCGATAGGAAATATCTATCTAATTCAAGACGATTATTTCAAAACTTACTGAATACGAGTTAATCAAGTATTGCACTACTGCTTGATTGAAAGTTCCAGTACATTATCAATGGTGTATATTTGCATCGATAATGTATTGGAGCGGGGTTTATCATGTGTGAAAATAGCATCGGAATGCTTGTGTTCTTGAAATGGACTATTGTAGCTGCAGTAGAGCTGTCACCTTCTGGCTCTCGGGTTCAAGCTTCTTTGCATTCAGAAGAAATGGTTGCAGGCAGATTTTATCCATTACACCACTGCCAGGCAGTGGGGGGTTAGGCCAAGGGCGAATCTTCATTCTAATCTACGATACTATTAATAACCTTTTACACATCAGAATGAATTGTGCATATGTTTAGGATCAACAAACATTTTCAGACGCAAAGGAGCAACAGGATCGAGCTGATAACGTTTCTTAATTCCAAAATCTGAAGACTGTTTTGAATAATGTTTAGGTAGTGGGCAGCAACAACGGGCAGGTAAAGTACTTACAGCTTCTATTTATTAAATGCTTGATATAACGATTGCCTACTAACAAAAATTCACCCTTCCCGTGAGGGGTCGTAGAGTTCTCTGCATCTCTCTTGGCTTGGTGGTGTTGGTCTATCATTCCTCCCCTTTCCCCACCAGATGCAAGGACGTGGCCAGGACAGCTCTGGTCTGTTGGAGGGAGACACATCCTTTATCTAAGAGGTAGTAATTAATCACAAATTACTATCTAACGGCAACGGATGAAGGTGGGTCTCCTTCTTAACAACAGTTTGGAGATCGTACCACCTACGACATAGTGCAACCTGGTTTATGCTATGCTACCCAACAAACAATTGAGAGCTCTTATAAAACACCTGAGTTGATCAAACGTTGAATAATAGCTTCCAGAGTTGAACAAGAATGTAGTTGTATTGCCGTTTGATTAAAAGTTTTAAGAGCTGTTGGAGCACTCTTAAATGATTGTTTACATTCGGTTTAACTATATGCTTTATAAGACCTACGATAACTTTTATAGCACCTTTGTTAAACTGATTGACAAGAGCTATATAGAACGTGAAATAAACGCATCAAAACAAACCATTGGGAGCTCTTATACAACACCTGAGTTGATCAAACGTTGAATAATAGCTTCCAGAGTTGAACAAGAATGTAGTTGTATTGCCATTTGGTTAGAAGCTTCAAAAACTGCTTGGAGCACTCTTAAATGATTGTTTACGTTCGGTTAAACTGTTTGACAGGAGCCATATAGGATGTGGTATAAACGCATCAAAACAAACCATTGAGAGCTCTTATACAACACCTGAGTTGATCAAACGTTGAATAAT